GCTAATGTATTTGGTGTTGTATCTAAAAAGTCATCACCAAACCCAAGGTCATCTAGATTTTCTCCAATGTTATCTTCTTGGAATTTTATAATTTTACATTTCACACTTAGGTCTGTGATCCATTTTGAGTTAATTTTGTGAAGGATGTAGAATCCATGCCTAGATTCATTTTGTTGCATGTGGATGTCCAGGTGTTCAAGTATCATTTGCTGGAAAGACTCTTTGCTCCTAAAACTAGCTTTTAATAGAGCATTGTGTGTAAAATATAAAATTCCTAGCAGATGTGATCCTATTGCATTTGAAAGATATTCAAATACCAGACTGCTTGATAATAAGCACAAAGAGATGTACAAAGAAAACACAAAGAGAATTCAGGATGGACGCATGTGAGGTTTAGAGGCTGGCAGGGTCAAGGGCTAAAATCAACAAAGCAGGGGAAAAAAACCCCAGGTTTCCTAGAGTTATCAGAGTTGGTGAGATGTGTAAATGCCAGGCAGCTAAAGAGAAGAGTCTCTCTTCTCTTGTAGGATTCTATTCCTACATTATAAGAAAGGTATGAGAAATTCACTAGCTTCCCTTTCCCTCAACTCTTCTCTCAATTTCCTGTATCTAGTCATTACACAGGCTGTCTGTGAATGTAGTGGGCAACTGCCAATGAATTTCATAGACTGATTATGATATATCCCAATGTACTGCAGTTAAAATCCTGTTCAGATACTAAAATGCTACTTTTAAATTCAGAGCATTTGCTACAATTAATGTATGCAAATATTAAAGTGATCCACAGGTAGATTTTACATGTAATTTCCATCCAGAAAAAAATTAAGCATCTAATTTTCAACATTACTGTGAAGTTTTCCATAGTGAATCTGCATTTCTGCTTTAACTAAAATGTATGCATCTTCCTTCCTATCAGAAATGACTTGCCAGGTCAAAAAGGAAACTTTGTTCTTTCATGAAAGAAAAGTGCTTTTTACCACTGAAATCTCCTCCCCCTTCCTGCTCCTTCCAGACAAAGATATAATTTAACTGTGTACTTTACAAGTGGGAAAATGACAAACACAGCATTTCTGCTAGCCAAGGGGGGAAGAGACCTTAATCATTAAAAACATGAGTAGCGGCTGCAATGTAAACATATGAAAACTATTACAAAGGTAAAATGAAATAGGTCACATGAATATCCCCAAGGGAAATATCTGGAAAGGTTATCTTTAATTTAGGTATATTAAGATAAAGAAAAATATTTGTCCATCTTTACTGTCACTATCAATAACATTTTCTAAAATGTTGGGGTTGAGTTGGAATCTCTTTAAAACTGAGGCCCTAAAACCCCAAAATCACACACAAAATTTGTTGCATATAGATGTGTTGCTAGAGAGAGGGTTCAAATAGCAACTCTGAAACAACAGAAAATTTTTAATATTGACCATTTACTTTTTTCATAAGACCAATGAGAAATACTTTAAACTTAGATTAGAATTGGCTACATAAAATAGGTAATATAATAAAAGATTCAGTGCCACATAATAATGTATATAACCTAATGAAATGATTCATTATCTGGAAAAGGTAGTACCTTTCAAGAAGAAGTTAAAAGTTTCAAGGTGTGTACACTGAAAGCAACAAAATACTGTTGAAAGAAATTTTAAAAGATTTCAATGTTAAGACATCCTATGTTTGTGGATCAGAAGACTTAACATTCTTAAGGTGGCGATACTCCCCTAATTGATCTATAGATTCAATGCAATCCGTATCAAAATTCCAGTTGCCTTTTTTGTAAAATTGACTACTGACTCTAAGATTCATTTGGAAATGCAAGAGACCTAGAAAAGGCAACATAATTTGAAAATAAACAAAGTTGGAACCTGAAACTTTCTAGTTTTGAAACCTAGTACAAAGCTACAGTAATTAAGACAATATGGTTTTGGGAATTCCCTGGCAGTCCAGTGGTTAGGACTCAGCACTTTCACTGCCATGGGCCCAGGTTTGATCCCTGGTCCGGGGAACTAAAACCCCACAAGCCGTGTGGCACGGCCAAAAAAAAAAAAAAAAAGACAATATGGTTCTGCCATAACGGTAGGCAAGGCATATAGATCAATGGAATAGAACTGAGAATTCAGGAATAAACTTTTACGGTCAATTGATATTTGACAAGGTTGTCAAAACAGTTCAATGGGGAAAGAATAGTTTTTTCAACAAATGGTGCTGGGATAACTAGATATCCACATGCAAAAGAATAAAGCTGGATCCCTACTTCCCACTGCACACAAAAATTAACCCAAAATCAAAATTATAAAACTCTTAGAAGAAAACATAGGAATAAATCTTTGAGACCTTGGATTAGGTAATGGCTTCTTAGATGTGACACCAAAAGCACAAATGGCAATAGAAAAAAATAGATTGGATTCATCAAAATTTCATCAAAATTAAAACCTTTGTGCTTCAAAGCATACCCTCAAGAAAGTGAAAAGACAACCCACTGAGCAGGAGGGTTGCAAATCAAACCTCTATAAGGAAGTTGTATTCATAATACATAAAGAACTTATGCAACTCAACAACAGAAGAATAAACAACTCAATTAAAAACTGGGTAAATGATTTGAATAGACATTTCATGAAATATACAAAAAATGGCCAATAAGCACATGAAAAGATACTCAACATCTTAGTTATTAGGGAAATGCAAATCAAAACCACAATGAGATACCACTTCATATGCACTAGAATGGCTAAAATGAAAAGAAAGACAATAACAAGTGTTGGTAAGGATGTTGAGAAATTGGAATTCTCATACATTGATGAGAGGATTATAAAATGCCGCAGCCACTTTGGAAAACAGTTTGGCTATTCCTCAAAAAGTTAACCATAGAGTTACCATATAATTCTATGTAACTCCATATACTGGATTGGCCAAAAAGTTCGTTTGGGTGTTTGGTAAGATGTTACGGAAAAACCCCAATGAACTCTGGCCAACCCAATACCATCAATTCCACTCCTAGGTATATAGCCAAGAGAACTGGAAATACAGATTCACCCAAAAACTTGTATGTGTTATAGTAGCACTATTCTATTCATAATAGTAAAAACGTAGAAACACTATAAGTGTCCATCAACAGATGAATGGATAAACAAAATGTGGCAATATCCATACAATAGATTTGGCAATAAAAAGAAATGAAGTACTAACACATGCTACAACGTGGATAAACCTTGAAAACATGCTAAGTGAAAGAAGATAGTCAGAAAAGATCACATATTGGATGAGCCCATTTATATGTGATGTCCTAAATAAGCAATACAGAGACAAAAAATAGATTAGTGGGTGCCAGATGCAGGGAAGAGGGGAGAGGGGAGGAATTGCTAATATATTTAGAGGAGTATTTTTGGGGGGTGAGGAAAGTGTTCTATAAATAGTGGTGATGGTTCACAACTCTACAAATATACTAAAAAAACCACAGAATTGTACACTTAAAAAGAGTGAGTTTTATGTTAAGTAAATTATATCAATAAAGCTGTTATAAAAACAAAACAAAAAAGTTTCAAGGTGTGAATGATGGAGGTAAGGAATTGTGCTTGGAGCACAGAAATAGTTCTGCTCCAAATAATTACAAAAAAGGAAAAGAAAAAAAAGGATTGTTTTAAGTCACAGTCATTACTAAGAACATTAAAAGTTTTTCCAGGTGATCACAGTTACTGATAAGCTCACGAAGCAAAAAGTATTACTGGAAGTTTGTTCTTTAGAATTAATTCAACAGTATGCTATAATTGTATTAAAAAACAAAAGCTATATTATGATGATTAGAGCAATTTAACTCTTGAGGAAAAAATAAAGATCATTTAAATATACAACTTTTTTTAAGGCTAAAAGAACTAAAGAGACTCATACTATTCTGGATGTGCCAATATTCTAACTTTGCTCTATGAAATTACCTGAAGAAAAAAATTTCAAGACAAGTATTCCACAGGATAACAATTAAGTAGCTCATACAACTGAGCTACTAAAAGGAAACAAAATTAAACACTCAAATCTTTCAAAATTATAGTCAATTTCTTAATGCAAACCAGAAACACTACAGAATTCAGATGTTGCACCATTCTAAGAAGTTACAACACTATTACCTAAAAAATGGAAAGTTAAAAATAAGAACTACCCCAACCTCTCTCCTCATCCTCCAGAGGAAAAAAAAAAAAAGAGTAAGAACTAAAGTTATTGGCTTTGTACACATGTCATGTTTTATCTGTCTGAGGTCTGATCTGGAATAATGTGGTTACCTATTTGTCAAAGTGTGGCACACTCATTTTACTTATTACTACTCAAAATGACCATAGACTAAATTTTTTTGTAATGGTCAAAAGGTGCCATTCACTGAATACTCAATGTATTTAAGGTATAATTTTAAAACCTTCACATACTCCATATCAATTCATTTAATCCTTATATCAGTCTGAGGGGTAGGAATTACTATCCATTTTACAAAAGGATACATAAGCATGTACACCTTGCTTTGACCACACAAGTTACTGAAAAATGTCATCATCCCCTCCCAAGGAAGAGACCAAACCCAATTTTTACATTTCATTACAGGTTTAAAAAAAGATTACAAAATGCAATATTGGCATATTTTCCCTGAGAGTCAAATGGAAATGAATATGTATTGATAACATAGGCTTATCTTTAAGCAACAGAGTTGTGAAGTTAACACTCCACTACTACATAACCTCATCGTTAATTGATAGCATTCAAGACAGTGGATAACTGGTTTATATTCCTTTTAATTCCTACCAAATTCCTTCCCAAGACAGACAGAGAAAACCAGACATATCAAAAGAAAAAAGAACAATAATTTATTCTAAATGTAGCATTTGCATTTAAAATATGTACATATGCTTTTCAGAAGAGAAGGGCTGAATGACATTATTGAGTTGTGCAGTACTATTCAAGACACTAAAAAAGTAATGTTTATAGAGGCAGAGAAAAGTAAAGCCAACAGAAATACTTACTTTCCCCTCCATGAATGTTTTGTTGTGTAGAAACATGCTAAATCCTTATTTTCCCTAATTATGTTCATTTTGTGCTGAAACCTGAAAGATAAAAATATGGATAAATTTCATAATAGTGCTATCCTTAAGAGTTTTCCCTGAATCTCCCATACCATAATTTCATAGCCTGCCATATGGCACTGATTTTAAGACACCAATTTTTCTACACGACCGTAAGGTTTTAAAGGATAGGGATGGTCTGTTCACCTCTCTATCACAGCCTTTAGCACAGCATATTGCCACAACTCTCTTCCACTACACTGGGTTTCTTGAGGACAAGAATCGCCCTCTATCAACATCTCGATTGCAGAGAACCTAATTAAAAAAATGTTAAAGTAAATGAATCTTTAAATCTCACATTGCCAAACAATGTCTTAACACATGATGGGCACCCAAGGGTCAAACCAATTCTAATAGGTTTTTGTCTATTAGACAAAACACTTAGCTAAACACTTAGTTGCTAAGTGTCAGCCATCTTGCTGTCCCTGTCACTTTAAAGGGAACCTATTGTAAATAAGTAAGGTTTAATTTAATAGTCTCATTATAAAAGTAATTCAAGTACATAAAAAATTTTTAATGTTCATAAAGTAAAGCATCTTTCATCCTAGCATCCAAAGATAATCATTCTAGCTTCCCTTCTTCTATCTAGAAAAAATAACTTTTTAAACAAAATTGAGATTGTCATTCATACCACTTAACCTGTTTTTACAGAATATTAACCTTTTTCCACAGAATTATACTTTGAGAAAATAATTTTTAAGTCACATGGTATTCCATACTAGACCAATGCTACTCAAAGTGTAGTTGCAAACATCAAGATGAGTGCAGAAATTAAGTGTTTATAAATGTTTGTTACAGTTTGGCTAGTGAACTCTCTAGTTAAACAGGACAGTTGAAGATTGTTGAACTTCCTAACAGCCACAGGCAGAGGGACCATGTTATGTGCAATATTTCAAGATTAGTTTGTTGACTATAACCTTGAGGTGTAAAAAATCCAGAATCCATTTATCTCATGAAAAAATTTCAATTTAGCTAATTTTACACAATAATTGCATAAACTGGCTACTAATGAAAGACTGATGATAAATTTTGAAAATTCTGCATCATTTGCTTCACACTGAATAAAAGTTAAAAATGAATATGGTAAAAAAAAAAAAAAAAAAAAAATGAATATGGTTATTTATTTCTTGTGTCACTTGGCTATTGCTTCCTACCCTTAATAATTAGAAATGCTCTCTAAAAAATACTGTAAGGTACATACCAAAGGGTCAATAATGCAAACTGGTTAGAAGTATGGTTAGAAGTATGGTTCGCTTAGCTTTCTTTACATCTTTATATGTCTAAACTTTTTTTAGTCAACAAGTATTCTTTTCATAATTAGAATAAAACCATTTTTATCCAAAAACATTTTTATAACAGCTTTTTGAGACACAATTCACACACCATAAAATTCACCCTTTTAAAAGTGTACAATTCATGGGTTTTTAGCATATCCACAGAGTTCTACAACCAACACAGTATTTTTATCACCCCAAAAAGAAACCCCTGCTAGGAGCCACTCCCCAATCCCCCTCACTCCCACCACCTGGCATCCACTAATCTACTTCCTGTCACTACGCACTTGCCTATTTTGGAATCCCATACAAATAGAATCATACAATATGTGGTCTTTGTGACTGGCTTCTTTCACTTAGCATAACATTTTCAAAGTTTATCCATGTTGTGGCATGGATCAGTTTCCTTCTATTGTATAGATGCAACACATTTTATCATCAGTTGATGGGCATTTGTGTTGTTTCTACTTTTTGGCTATTATCAATCATGCTATGAACAATCATTTTGTGTGAATGTTTTCATTTCTCTTGGATATGTATCTGAGAGGCAAACACATTTTTAAAGATACCTCTATTTTGACATTGCTTTCTTCATTCTTCTTGTTTTTCTATCAGCAAATTAGCAAGGGCCTCTGTACTCTATGTATTGTAGAACGCTCTTCCCCTAGATATCTACATGGCTAACACCTTCAGCTCCTTCAACTCTGTCCAAATGTCACCTTTACAATGAGGCCTAGGCTAACTATCTTGTTTTAAATTGTGATTACCCTCCTCATTCTACACTCTCTATCTTAACTCCTACTCATATTTTCTCTAGGGTACCTTTCAGAGTCTAACGTGCAATTTAGTCTATTTATTATTTATCTAATCCTACTAGAATATCCAGAGAGGTATTTTTGTCTGTTATGCTCATTTTCTCTAGGCTCTCCAGAGCTGGCAAGAGTACCTAACAAAACAGGTGCTCAATGAGTATTTGAGTGAATGAATGAAATTCAGCAACCCCATGAGCAATTCTGATGGCCACTTCAAACTTGATATTCTAACAGGTACTCCCAAATAAGGTTTTGGCAAACCTTCCAGAAAAACATCATCAATTCATGCTCTGAGGAATAATAGGAGAACCACAAGTAACAGCAAGTTCAGAGAAACCATTATTGTTACCAGAGAGGAAATATCTCTTAACAGTCAATGACATCTTCCTACTAGTGTGCATGGAGACAGTTAAATATAGTCCTATCATTTGGTGTGCTGTTTTGTTTTTTCTGGATTGTATATCTGAAATGACACAGGCAGCCAACCAAGAATTACTACACCAGCACACATCATCCCTGCCTCCTGAATTACTTGTAGTAAACGATATTGCTGAAAAGAAACTTAGGCTGGATCTCTGAAAAGGTGCCAAAAAAGTGAAAAACTATAGGTCTACAGATGATATTTTCCCCTTACATACTGTAACTGAAGATTGGAAAAATGTAAGAAAAAGGAGGACAGAAAAGGTAAATGGCTGACATTGAAGAGTGGAGTTTGGATTCTGAGTCCACAATTTCTTACATCAGAATGACTGACTGAACCAAAGGCCTATCTAGAGAAAACTGACAAGAAAGAAAATGTCTTTGAGTGAAGACTGGCTGACCTCATCAAGGGACTTTAAAAGGAAAGTGAGAGAAAAAATAATATGAGTTTAAAATGACAGCCACAGAGAACTTATGGCATGACCCAGGAGTAAAGATCCCTAATAAATCAAAGGGGAGGGGGAAATCTCACAATAACAAAGCAAATTTAAGAATTTTAAAAAAAACCCTAAAGAATGATCTCATAAGTATCACTGGTTTGGGGGAATATGTAACTCAAACGGATTTTTTAGGAGGGGAATGAATTAAAACAAGTTTACATCAAGAAGGCTTATCTACAACTTTTTGGAGACCTATGAACTCGGGGGTGATGAAAATACTAGACTCCAGAGAGTTCCAAGGTTAGGATAAAGGGAGAGAAGATAAAACACATTAATATAAAATTAAACTACTAGAAGACATACAGATGGCCAACAGGTATATGAAAAGATATTCAATGTCACTATCAGGGAGATGCAACTCAAAACTACAAGATACTGCCTCACACCTGTTCAATGGCTATTATCAAAAAAATAAAAGACAGCAAGTTTTGGTGAGGATGTACAGAAACTAGAACCCTTGTACACTGTTGATGGGAATGTAAAATGGTGCGCTATGGAAAACAGTATGGAGTTGCTCAGAAAATTAAAAAATAGATTCGGGAATTGCCTGGCGGTCCAGTGGTTAGGACTCAGCGCTTTCAGTGCCGTGGGCCTGGGTTTGATCCCTGGTCAGGGAGCTAGGATTCCACAAACCGCATGGCACGGCCAAAAAAAAAAAGAATTATCGTATAATCCAGCAATCAAACTTCTGAGTATTTATCCAAAAGAACTGAAATTAGGACCACTAAGAGACAGCATGGCCATATTCACTGCAACATTATTTATAAAAGCCAAGATGTGTAAACAACCTAAATGTCCATCAACAGATGAATGGATAAAGAAAATGTGGTATACACACACAATGAAATATTATTCAGTCTTAAAAAAGGATATCCTGCAATATTCAACACCACCAGTGAAACTTGAGGACATTATGCTAACTGAAATAAGCCAGTCACAGAAAGACAAATACTGCATCATTCCACTGACACAAGTTATCTATAATAGTCCCACTCACAGAAGCAGAAAGGTAGAATGGTGGTTGCCAGGGACCGGGGTGAGGGGGAAATGGGGAGTTGCTAATTAACAGGTATAAAGTTTCAGTTATGCAAGATGAGTGAGTTCTAGAGTCTGCTGTACAGTACTGTGCCTATAGTTAACAATAATGTATTGTACACTTAAAAATCTGTTAAGAGGATAGATCTCATGTTAAGTGTTCTTACCCTCAAAAAATTAAATTTTTTTTTTGGCTGCCTTGGGTCTTTGTTGCTGCGCATGGGCTTCCTCTAGTTGTGGCGAGCAGGAGCTACTCTTCATTCTGGTGCGCAGGCTTCTCTTGTTGTGGAGCACAGGCTCTAGGCACGCGGGCTCAGTAGCTGCAGCGCACGGGCTCTAGGCCATGTGGGCTTCAGCAGTTGAGGCTCGCAGGCTCTACAGCTCAGGCTCAGTAGCTGTGGCGCATGGGCTTGGTTGCTCCGTGGCGTGTGGTATCTTCCTGAACCAGGGATTGAACCCATGTCCCCTGCACTGGCAGGTGGATTCTTAACCACTGTGCCACCAGGGAAGTCCCAAAAAATTAAACTTTAAAAATTTAAGAAGTATACCACTAGCTGGCCTGTCAGAAAAAAAATACTGTATTCCTGATGCAGATGACAATGCTAACAGAAAAATATAATGTAGGATTAAAGGATTCTCTGGACATCAATACAAGTTCCTATGGCCAAAATCAGCACACTTGATAACTACCTCTCATGTTTTAGGAAGCAACAAGTGATATTGCTATTCTGCATCCAATCCTGAATGACAACAATCCAAAAAAGGCTAAGGCTAGTAAAATGGAAGTGCTCTTTATGGAAGAAAATCACTCCTCTACCTGAAAAGCTCACCTTCAGCCATGTTATATTTAGGTAAGGATATACCAGAGAGATAATGAAGGCAGGAAATACTTACCTAAGTAGCCAAGTCAACCCCAGAAATGATGGGATAATTCAAAGCTA